TTTGCTTGAGGTCTTCGGCACTGCCTTCAAACATAATGTCGGTAATGCGGAAGCCCAAAATTTCATTGGCCTTTTCAAAAAGCTGTTTGGCTTCTTCTGACTGCTCGTAAAGTTCTTTTCCCATGCCTGGGAATTGTGCGCCCTGTCCGGGGAAGATGTATGACTTCATTTCTTAGAATTTAGACGCTAGACGTTAGACGCTAGACTTTGTTTAAATTTTTATTCAAAAACCGATTTCCAATCGAGATTGGAATGCTCGGTTCATTTTTTGCAATTCTTCTAATTCTGTAAAAATAGGTTCAAGAACCTCCCATTTTACAAATTCTAAATCGGAGGCAATAATAAGATGAGACCCCAATTCAAAGCAAGATCCTTGACTGATGCTTAAAAACTGTACAAATTCTTTATCCGACTTTCTTCCAGCGCCCTCCGCAATATTGGCGGAAATTGAAGTTGCCGCCCTCCTTATCTGTGAAGTTAGTCCATAAATCTCATCTTTTGGAAATCTAGAAGTAAGCTGATAAACAGGTTTAACAATTTCGCGGCCTCTTTGCCATATTTTAAGCTCTTTAAAATTGTGCATAATTGTTTGGTTGGGTTAAACTTTAAAGCTAAATATTTCTTCTCAATCTTCTAAAGTCTAAGCTCTAAAGTCTAACATCTCATTTTTTGGCTTAGCCAAAAAATTCGACCGCATTATTCTCCGTCTCGTCCAGCCTAATTTTATGCAACTCACAGCCGTGCTCGGCAATTTTGGGTTGCAGGATTTTCCAGATTTCCTCGGCCAGAACCTCGGTGCTGGTGAACTTGCCTTTAAGGAAGTCAACATCGTGGTTGAGATTGGCGTGGTCCAGTTTTTTTACCACGTTATTCATGATGAGCTTTTTCAAATCAACCAGATTCATCACAAAACCCGTATCGGGGTTTATTTCACCCTTCACCGTGACCGTGAGCGTATAGTTGTGGCCATGAAAGTTTTTGTTGGCACACTTGCCGAAAACTTCATCGTTTTTCTCTTCGCTCCAGTTGGGGTTGTATAATTGATGCGCTGCGCTAAAGCGTTCTTTCCTTTCGATGTAGATCATAGTGATCTGAAAATTTTTGCAAAGATAAGGGAGAGTGGTGGGTTCAGTAGATTCAGATAGTATTTATTGGTTCATTACCTCTCGACTCCGCTTGAGGCGTTTAGATGCTGACTGTGGCTAACTTATATTGGTTCTGTCAAAACGTAGGCGACAGGCCTATACTCTCGTTGATTCCCAAGCCTCTATAGTTAGCTAGTTCGAGCGCAGTAGAGAACTTTTAACATACGTTAGATACGAACACTCGACTGTGCCATCGCTAAAGCTCTAGGCGACATGCGATCCGCTCGTAGGTGCTAATTAGCGTTTAGGCGGTTCAATCATAATTTAGTGCGAAGAGTTGTTTCCAAAAAGGTAATGCTTGAGATATAAGGTGGCGCTTCGACTGCCGCTCAGCGAGACATGCCTTTGGGTAGCCTAGAAGCCAGTCAGGCTAGGCCTGTCGAAGCCCAAGTCTTTTTTTGCGTAACCATTTAATTGGTAGCCCGTGGAAACCCTCACTCCCGCTCATAAAATATCTCCCACTTAGTTTCCCATTTTTGGGATCCGGCTAAAGCCGACTGCCAGCGCCAGGTAAAAGAATCGGGTTTGATGTCAAAAAACACCATTCTTCTGATGGTGGGTTTTTCATTTATCATCGCGGGTTCCATGGTAAAAATCAGGCTGTCGCCAGATTTGGCTCCGGTAAACTCGAGGTAGCCGCCCGAATTGTCCACCCAGGTTTGCTTCCATTCTCCGGAAGGGGTAAAAACACTCCAGCTTTTCCCTTTAAATCCCGAGGGGGAGGAAAAATTTTCCTGGATGGTTTTCTCGGATAAAATGAATTCTACCTGGTTAGCACCAACAATAGTATCACCTTCGTTGGAAAGCCATTTGAGCTGCCAATCGCCCAGCCAGAAATTAAAAGAAGCAGAATCTAAATCTTGTGCCGAGAGGGCCAGTGAAAGCGATAAAAGCGTGAGGGTGAGAAACTTTTGCATGCCGTGAAGGTAAAAAAATGTTTCTTGAAAGGCAGCTCATGACATGGGCTTTCAGGCAGTTATCAAGCGTGTTGAATGCCTGAAATTCCGGGTCCAAGCCCGGCATGATGCCGCAATAAACTTTATAAACCTGGTATCTGAATAAACCCAATAAACTAAAATCCCAAACTCACCGCTGGCGCAAGCATCCGCGCTTGTGCCTCTCAAGAATCCCAAACTACCACGAACCACTGGCACCGCCTCCGCCAAAGCCTCCGCCACCGAAGCCTCCGCTAAAGCCGCCACCTCCGCCAAAGGAGCCTCCGCCCCCGCCAAAGCTGCCGCCACCCATTCCGCCAAGCCAAATACCGCCCGTGCCGCCACGGTAACCGCCCCGACCTGAGCCACCCCCGCGGTTGCGGTATCGGAAAAAGATGAAAAAGAGAATCATGATCAGGATAAAGGGTAGGTAGGAAGCCGGACCTTTTTTGCCCCTACGCTTGGGAGGAGTGCCTTCAAATTTCCCCTGTAAGAGGTTTACAATTTGTACCGTGCCCTGTCGGATGCCTTCATAATAATTGTCTTGCTTAAACTGCGGTACAATGTAATTTTCAATAATCAAGCGCGATTTGGCATCGGTGAGATAAGGCTCCAGGCCGTAACCATTTTGTATGGCAACTTTTCGTTCTTCAATCGCTACCAGGAGAATGAGGCCATTGTCGGCATCCTTGCTGCCCACACCCCATTTTTCGCCTAATTCTGCGGCATACAAGTTGGGGTCATCACCGCCAATGTTGGGCATGGTAACGATTACGATTTGGGTGCTGGTGGTATCGGCATAGCCTATCAGAAAGTTATTGAGCGATGTCTCTTGGTTGGCATCTAAAATTTCGGCAAAGTCGTGCACCGGTTTTTCTCCCTTTGGATCGGGAAAACGGTCGTTTTGCGCAAAAAGAGTAGTGCTGAATAAAAGTAAGAGAACGAAAAGCCGGTATACCTTCAAAGCTTATGATTTTGAGATTTCATCGGGCAGCTCGTTGATGTCGTCATGCTGCACCGGAAAATATTCTTTTAAAGCCTTGCCGGCCATGGTAATCCCTTCCACCAAGCCTTCGGCAAAATTGCCTTGCTTGAAGTGGCTTTGCATGTGGTCGCGAATGTCGTCCCAAAATCCTTTGGGCACTTTTTCGTCAATGCCTTTATCGCCCAAAATGGAAAATTGATGATCCTGCACCGCCAGGTAAAAGAGAACCCCGTTACGCAATTCGGTTTTGGTCATACCCGCCTCGTCAAAAATTTTCTTGGCGTGCTCCAAATTCGGTTCATCCGTGTGCGCTTCTAAATGCACGCGGATTTCACCACTGGTGCGGTTTTCAGCCGCTTTAATGGCGGCTACCACTTGCTTTTCTTCTTCCTTGGTGAGAAAGTGTTCGGGGGTTTCTTCGCGCATATCTTAAAATTGAACTTCAGGAGCTTCTTCGCTACCTGCTTCTGATTCAAAATATCCTTTCTTGTCAAAACCGGTAATGCCAGAAATGATGCTTTGTGGAAACTTACGGATGTAAGTGTTATAATTTCTTACGATGTCATTGAATTTCCTGCGCTCAATGGCGATGCGGTTTTCGGTGCCTTCCAGCTGCGACTGCAATTGCAAAAAGTTTTGGTTGGCCTTGAGTTCCGGGTAGCGTTCTACGGTAACTAACAATCGGCTTAAAGCCCCGCTTAATTGCGACTGTGCTTCTTGGAATTGCTGAAGTTGTTGCGGATTAATGTCGTTTGCATCAACGTTAATTGAAGTGGCTTTGCTGCGCGCCTCAATTACCTGGGTAAGCGTTTCCTGTTCAAAATCGGCATAGCCTTTCACGGTGTTTACCAGGTTGGGAATAAGATCAGCCCTGCGTTGGTAGGCTGTTTCTACGTTGGCCCATTGGCCGGTAGTGGCTTCTTCCATGGTTACCATGTTATTGTACATCCCCTGGAAGGTGAAAAAGAAGATAAGTAGTAAACCAACTACTACCAGCAAGGCAATTAAACCTTTTTTCATTTTTATACTGTTTTAAATTTTGAGAGCGAATTAAGTGCCGAAGATAATAAAGTGACAGGATGTCTCTATAGGGCCCCCTTCATCTCATCCAAAGCCTGGCGAATATTCTTTAGCTTTTCTACCACCTGCGCCACTTTGGCGGTGTCGTCTTTATTTTCCTTGAGTTTCGTTTTAGCTCCCTTTAGGGTAAAGCCCCGTTCTTTTACCAAATGGTAAATAAGCTTGAGGTTTTCCAGATCTTTAGGGGTGAATAGCCTGTTGCCCTTTTTGTTTTTGCGGGGTTTGAGAATATCAAACTCCTTTTCCCAAAAGCGTACCAGTGAAGGATTTACCTCCAGCATGGCGGCTACCTCGCCCATGGTGTAATAGCGTTTTTCTTGTTCTGTTTCTTCTGAAAACGCCATTAGTCGAAAGATTGGTTGTTTTGACTGGCCATCTCAATAATGGTTGAGAATTCTTCGGGACTGAGCTCTCCGTAGTAGAAGTTAACGGGATTAAGCCGATCATTGTTTAAATGTACCTCGTAGTGCAAGTGCGGGCCTCGCGAACGGCCGCTGTTTCCAACATAGCCAATTACTTCGCCACGTTTAACCCTTTGTCCCACCTGTATGTTGTACTCACTTAAATGGGCATAAATGGTGGTGTAGCCGTAGCCATGGTCAATGCGAATATGGCGTCCAAATCCACTGGAGCGCGAATCCGCTCGTTTCACAATGCCATCGCCCGTAGCGTAAACCGGGGTGCCAATTTCGGCAGAGAAGTCCATACCGTAGTGCATTTTTCGGGCCTTGGTGAAGGGGTCTATGCGCCAACCGTAACCCGATGCCATGCGCTTCAATTCTTCATTGGCCACGGGTTGTATGGCCGGAATGGAGGCCAAAAACTTATTTTTATCATCGGCCATCTCAACAATTTCATCAAAGCTCTTGGTTTGAACGTACAGCTGTTTGGTGATTTTATCCAGACGCTTGGCCGTTTCTTTAATCAGCTCTGAATTTTCAAAGCCTTCAAGTTTTTTATAGCGGTTGGCGCCTCCAAAGCCAGCTTCTCGCACCGAGGCGGGAATGGGTTCCGCTTCAAAAATTACGCGGTAAATATTGTCATCCCGGTCTTCTAAATCGCGCAAAACGGTGGCCAGTTGATCCATGCGCTCATTCATAATGGAGTACTGGATTTTCATGTTTTCCAGCTCTCTGCGCAGGCGTTTTTCTTTGGGCGAGTCAATAAAGTTGTCGGCAATCAGGTAAAACACCATCCCCATAAGGGCAGCCGAGGCCATGTAAAGCATGGTTTGCTTTAGCCGGTAGCCCGGGCCTTTCTCAATTTTCCGGTACGAGAGTGTTTTCGGATCGTAATAGTACTTGACCTTAGCCATAATGCTTAATTTTGGCCGCTAAGCCGAAAAGATAACCTTTTCAACAGCTAAAATAATTGATTTTAACGCTTTGTTTTAGCTGCGCAATTTTACACAATAAACATTAGTTTGTTTACTTCTTCATGAGCAATACCAAAAATTGGACAGCCCAGAATATTCGCGAAGCCTTTTTGAGCTTCTTCGAGCAGAAAAACCATAAACGCGTTTCATCAGCTCCTATTGTAATTAAAGATGATCCTACCCTGATGTTCACCAATGCGGGAATGAATCAGTTTAAGGATGCCTTTTTGGGAAACGCTGAACCGGAGGCCAGCCGGGTAACCGATACCCAGAAATGCCTACGCGTTTCCGGCAAACACAACGATTTGGAAGAAGTGGGGCACGATACCTACCACCACACCATGTTTGAAATGCTGGGCAACTGGAGTTTTGGCGATTATTTTAAAACCGAAGCCATTGAATGGGCCTGGGAGCTGCTCACTAAAGTGTATGGCCTGCCAGAAAATCGCTTGTACGTTACCGTTTTTGAGGGCGATAAAGATGACGACTTGCCGCGAGATGAAGATGCGGCCCAGGTTTGGAAAAAGCTGGTGGAGGAAGAGCGCATACTCAACGGCAACAAAAAGGACAACTTCTGGGAAATGGGCGCCACTGGCCCCTGCGGCCCCTGTTCTGAAATTCACATTGACCTGCGCAGCGAGGAAGAACGTAAGCAAACTCCGGGATCCGACCTGGTCAATCAAGACCACCCGCAAGTGGTGGAAATATGGAATCTGGTTTTTATGGAGTTCAATCGCCTGGCCAACGGCAGCCTAAAACGCCTGCCCGCCCAGCACGTTGATACGGGTATGGGCTTTGAGCGCCTCTGTATGGCCTTGCAAAACAAACGCTCCAATTACGACACCGATGTTTTTACCCCCTTGCTTGATCTCATAAGCCAAAAGGCAAAAATCAAGTACGGCAAAAACGAAAAAGCCGACATTGCCATGCGCGTGATTGCCGACCACGTGCGCGCGGTGGCCTTTGCAATTGCTGATGGTCAACTGCCATCCAACAACGGGGCGGGCTATGTAATTCGCAGAATTTTGCGCAGGGCCATTCGCTACGGCTTTTCATATCTCAACTTGCAGCAACCCTTTATTTTTGAATTGGTTGCCGTATTGGCCCGTCAAATGGGGGCCTATTTCCCAGAAATTGTGAAGCAACAAAACCTGGTGGAAAAAGTAATTAAGGAAGAAGAGCAATCTTTCTTGCGCACCCTGGAGCAGGGCTTAAACCGTTTGGAGCAAATTACCGCTTCCGCGGAAGGAAGCACAGTAGAAGGCGCCAAGGTTTTTGAATTGTACGACACTTTTGGCTTTCCGCCCGACCTAACCGGCCTGATCTTAAAGGAGAAAGGGTTTACCTACGATGCCAGTGAATATCAGAAGGAAATGCAGCTTCAGAAAGATAGAGCACGGGCAGCCACTAAACTAGACACGGGCGATTGGACCGTGCTGAGCGATGCTGAGGGCGAAGGCTTTATCGGCTACGACCACACCGAAGCTGCGGTGAAAATTTTGCGCTACCGCGAAATAAGCAGCAAAAAGAAAAAACAATTCCAACTGGTTTTTGATCAAACGCCTTTTTATCCGGAAGGTGGTGGCCAAGTAGGAGATACGGGCTGCATTAAAAATGAAGAGGACCGCGTGGTGATAACCGACACCAAAAAGGAGCACGGTTTAATTGTGCACCTCAGCGATAAGTTGCCCGCCAATCCACAAGCGGTTTTTAAAGCTGAGGTTGATGAATCGCGCAGAAAGGTGACCAGTTTAAACCACTCGGCAACCCATTTACTGCACCAAGCCTTGCGCGAGGTTTTAGGAGAGCACGTTGAGCAAAAGGGCTCCTTAGTGCATCCCGAGTATTTGCGTTTTGACTTCAGTCATTTTTCAAAAGTATCGGCAGAAGAAATTGAAACCATAGAACGCATAGTGAACGAGCGTATCCGCCAGAATTTTTCACTGGAAGAATACCGGGACATTCCTATTGCTGAGGCACAAGCCATGGGCGCCATGGCGCTGTTTGGTGAAAAGTATGGCGACACGGTGCGCGCCATTAAGTTTGGCGATAGCATTGAGTTGTGTGGAGGAATTCACGTGCCGGCAACCGGGCAAATTGGTTTGTTTACCATTGTTTCAGAAGGAGCTGTTGCCGCTGGAATACGCAGGATAGAAGCTTATACCGGTGAAAAAGCACGTGGTTATTTAAAGGATAAGCAAGCGAAATTGCAGGCAATTTCTGAGGAACTGAAAAATCCCAAAGATTTGCTTTCAGGCATCCATAGCTTGAAAAAGGAAAACGCTGAACTGAAGAAGGAAATTGAGTCGTTTAAAGCCGCCCAGGCGAGCCTTGAGAAAAAGGCGTGGCAAAACAGCATTAAAGAAGAGGCCGGCCTGAGCTATCTTTTCCGCATAAGCGATTTAGACGCGGCGTCCATTAAAAATGCACTCTTTCAATTGAAAAGGGAAGTGCCTAATTTGGTAGCTGTAATTGGCAGCAGGAAAGACAATAAACCACAAATTGCGGTGGCTTTTAGCGATGCCATTGTAAAGGATAAAGGTTGGCAAGCCGGAAAAGTGGTTAAGGAGCTGGCCCGTGAAATAAATGGTGGCGGAGGAGGCCAACCGGCTTTTGCCATGGCCGGAGGAAGCAAGCCTGAGGGCTTGGAAAAAGCCATTGAAAAAGCCAAAGAACTATTGAAATAAAAACCGATGAAAAAATTATTGATTGCAACTTTTTTCGCTCTGCCTTTTCTGAGCATCGCGCAGCCAAATGATGATATAGTTTACTTTACCGATAGTGACGTGAGCGATTCGCGCTTTGGTTTGGCGGCTAACTTTAACCCGGTTTATACCGATTTGCGCATAATTAACAATGACGTGGGCCTGGGGGGCGGAGGCTTTAATGTGAGCCAGGATGCCGCGCAGGGTACCTTTCAGTTCAACTATCACTTGGATTTGATTTTTGAACTCAGCCAATCTTTTGACATCAGCCTCGGTTTTGGTCGCGCTTTTGGCGGATACACCCTGGAGAGTGCCGAATATGCTCAGGCCGTAAACGATACCATACCGGCAGATGTGGCCGTTGATGTGAGCATGTACACCATACCTTTTAAAATAAACTTCAACTCATCACTCTCTGATGTTTTTGACCTGGAAGTGGTGCCAATGGTTGAATTTAATCTCCTGGATAAGTACCAAGCCACCATTATGCCTGAAGACGGAGGGCAGAGTTTTACTCAAACTTTTGACCAAAACCTGCAACGTGTAAATTACTCCGTGGGCCTTGGTTTGGGCGGTACGTATTGGTTTTACGATAACTGGGGCGTCTTTGCCCGTGCGCAAATTAAATACATGTTAAACCAAATGGTTGATTTAGATGATTTTCCGCGAGAAACGCTAATCAATTATGGTTTAAACGTAGGCCTGCGCTACAACTTTTAAGGGAGCACCAAAATAGCTTCTACGTTGTCGTCACCGGTGCCGTCATTCACCGTGAAACTCAATGAAATTTGATCGAAGTCGGCATTGGCGCTACCGTCTCCTGAAAAGGTGAATCCGGCCGTGCTTTGCATCGGTATGGTAATTTGCGTGCCCTGAATATCAGCCTCCACCTGTACATCTGCTTCGTTGTACAGGTCTTCAATAAGAATGGTATTTACATCCGCACCCGCTAGAATTTCAACGGTATAAAACTGGGGGGCGTTGTTGCCGGTGTTCTCGGTAACGTTCCACACGCCCAGATAGCGGTCTTGTATGCTTCCCGGGTCAGTGGGCTTATTCTCTTCAGCACAGCTTATCAGGCCGAGCATCAATCCCGCGAAAGCAATATTTTTATAAACCCTTTTCATTACTCAGCGCTTTGCAAAGTATCGCCCTTGCTGGCTTTATATTTTTCATTCAATCGGTTTAAAACCGATTCGGTAACGTTTAGTCCTTCATCGGCTGCCAGCAGGTCGCTTCTACTGTCGTAACTAAAAATCAGATCCAGCTCGTACTCTTCTCGTATTTGCTTGAGTACATCGTCTAAATCATCGCGCAAAAGGCTGGTGAGCTCTTGCTCCTGCTCTGCAAGCCTTTGAGTTTGCTGATCGCGATACATCATTAATTCCTGTTGCTTTTGTTGAAGCTCCATTTGCGCAGATTGGAGTCTCTCTTCACTAAGCTCACTGGCGCGCTGCTGAAGAATGGCTACGTCTTCCTGAAATATTTTTGACCTGCGGGCCAGTTCTGTTTCCAATGCCTTGGCTTCTTTCTCAAGCTTTTCTTTTAATTCTTTGTGGTAATCGTATCTAACCACCAAAGAATCATAGTTAATGTAGGCAATTCTCAAATTGCTGAAATCCTTACTGGCGATTGCTTCAGCCTCGCTTTGTTGCGCGCTTTTTTCCGTTTTATTTGAAAATTCACGATAGAACAGAAATACAACGGCTATTAGTAAAACAACAGAAAGGGCGGTATTTAATGACTTCATTTAAAAAATTGCTTTGGCCGCTAAATTAGAACATAACATTCATTTAAGGGTAATCAAACCATATTGCTTGAGCCATTAAACACATTTAGGTTCTAAGCGGTTAGAATTAAAAAGGAAGTTACGATAGTTGGCGTTCCAGCAGAAATAAAAAAGAATGAAAGCCGTGTGGCCCTCACAAAGTCGGGTGTTTTTGAACTGGTAAATCAGGGGCACCAGGTGCTAATAGAAAACAATGCGGGCGAAGGCAGCGGAATTAGCAACGAAGAATATCAA